ATGTCTTGTCTAGGAGGAAATCCATTTAGTGTTGTTTATGGTGCTATTAATGAAAAGAGTGCTGTCCCTTTTGCATTCATCTGTTCAGATTGTTCTTTTTCACATTTTCCCCTCCTGCAGATAGATATATGGCTATATTAATTAAGAAGGCACGTCTGATACTGTTATTTCTGGCTATGGTGTTTAATTAGGAAAAAAACAACAAAAAACTCTGTTCTGTTTAAAGATGTGTAATTACAGAAGTTAGCATATGTTATGTCACATCAAAACCATTGTTTGAATTATGAGCGGTTGGGAAGGAGCGCTCAGTGAAAGCTGCAGAAGCACTTTATTGGCTTGATTTATGGGATTGCCTTGCCTTTCCTGAGCCCTGCAGTGAGGATCTAAATGTGCTCCTACCCACCTTGGTGATAACAGGCTGTGGGCTTAGAGTAGTTAAGATCTGAGTGGTAACTGAGTAAATATTTTCTGTCTAGATCCAGAGTCAGTCCAGTACAGGTGAGCAGTGGGCTGGGAACGTGCCCTGGAAGGTTCAGCTGGCAGTTGCTTTGTGTTGCTCTGCTCAAGGATTAGTGTCAGGAGGTTGACCTAGTGCACCTATTTGTGGGTTAAATATCTTATCTGTGTTCCAGCAGGCTTGTTTCTCCATGGGTAGCGTGAGCAGCAGATTGTGTGCTGGTTGTCCAGATGTAGAGGCAGAGAGCTGGTGCTTGGAGGGATTTGGAAGATGCCTGGGAAAAGCCATAGCTTGGTGGGGATGAGCTGGGCTCTGTCCTGGGCCGACAGGTGGCAGCTCACAGTCAGAAAAGAGCATCTCTGGGGGAGCCAGGCCTGCCATCGCAGTGTGTTACAGCCGTGCAGGCAGCACGGCCCTTCTGTTCCATCGCCTGCACGGGGCACAGTGAATTTATTTAGGTAAGGATTCATAAGCCTTAAAGATTCAGTAGGAACAGTATAAAAAGGCCAGATGAAGTTGTACAGCAGTGTTTCCTCTGCAGTCCTGCATATGGCATATCACCGGATCTGCAAGGAATTTTGCATTATATCAGTTTTTGGAGTTTTAGTAATTCAAAGGGTATGAACAGAGCAAGATCTACTCCGTACCAAGTCATTAAAATCCTCGAATAGAGCAAGTAGGGGAAAAAATGCTCCCTTCTCACATGTCTGTAAACACACTGGTGCCTGTGTTGTTCTTTGATGAAGTATTTATAGGATGAAGTACTTGTTTAATTTATCTCTATCCACTGTTGGTACACCTGCTCTCTGATTTCTGGTAATGTGGGGTTGCTTTGTATTTCAAACCAAAAAGAACAGCTTCATTTCTGTTGTTGAAGTTGAAACTTCTTAATCTTTAATTTCTCTCTAAGCACATTGCATGCAAGTTGTTTCCTCAGATGTATGGAATGTGACTGAAAATTGATAAAGCACCATGTCTTTTTCACACCCTCCTTTCTCCCACCCCTTATTCTTTTCCTCTGAGTACTTTCATATCTGATGGCTTTTTTCAGTTCGCTGTATTTCATGATTCTGACTTGTTTGCTCAGAACAATTCTGCCAGGAAGACTTTGGCAGTGTTGGGCTTTTTTATGCACTTCCTGCATTGTCTTACCACAAGCCTATTCACACTTTTTGGGAATGATCTGACACATTTTTTTTTTTTTTTATAATATGACTTGAAATAGCTTGGGATGGAATGTTTCAGGCAAAACTTGTGTTTTAAAGGCTGAATTCTAGGCTGCCTTGCAGAATTTGTTAAATATATGCTTTTGGGACATAAACCATGTTTAGGTCTATCTGAGGTTTATTTGTGAGTCTGGGGTAGGTTTTGTAGTTTGTGAGCTACCTTAACTGGGTTGGTAATGGGTGGTGTCTTGGAAGGTGTATTTGTTCTGGGGCTTAGCTGTTTATTTCTCCTGGATCTTTTACCACAGGAGAGCTGGATCTGCTCAAGTGTGGGCAGGGTGATAGTTCAGAAACTGGCTTGGAGAGAGCTCATGTAAATATATGCTTGTCACTTTGACTGGGCTTCTGCTTGCTTTTCTTAGTCTTGCAAGTGAGTGGATACTGAAAAGTTTTAACAGCAGTACTTGGAGCTTTTAGGATAGAAAGCTCATTTGGGGTGAGCTATGGTGGGAGTGAAATGAGGATCTTCATTCTATCTTATGCTTAATCAATTTTCCTAAGTTATACTGCTCAGGAGTGCTCTGGCAGATCCACATCACCCAGTTTGACCAAACCAGCTCAGGCATCACCAATAACGGGAAAAAACCTCAACATGGTGATGAGGGCATTGATACTTATGTGACTTTTGAACTGCAAGACTGTGGCACCAATTCTTCCAGCTGATCCAGGCATGTCCCTTCTCTGAAATGGAATCAAAGAGAAGCATTAATTGCAGCAAACAGTTTGCAAGCAAAATGATTCTCTGGGAAGTGGAATGATCTCTTCCAAAAGAGGCGTGGAGCATTCCAGGTGTGGGAAGGCCGTTGAGGTCTCTGGGTAGTTGCCTTGGCTGCTCTCTCTCTGTGAACTGGACTAAAAAAATATGCACTTCTGTATCTCATAGTGAATGTAGGTGTGTGCCTGGATTGCTGCATAGATGAGATAAATTCACAGTGATACTCAAAGCAAAGCCTATAGCTTGGACTCATGTTTTAGTGATTTTTCACCCCCTGGGAGAGCAGCAAATAGTCTTAGATTGTAAAGATGGGACTGGAAATTGAGGTCACAGTATAATATGCAAGACCTTTATTTTTTTTACCTTGTTTACTTTATGCCGGGCTAAGTATTTCATAGCAAAAGTAATTTTTTTGTGCAGTTTGCGAAATAAATAATGGAGAGATCCTGTTAAAAATGCATTGGCTGGCTTCCTTATTTTAATATTAATAAGGCAGGTTGCTACAATAAAATTAGCTCTGCATGGTGTTTGTCACTGTACTGCCAAAGCAATCGAGTCTAATGCCATTCCTTCCTGAAATAAATCCCCTGGAGAGCAGTATTTGTGCTGTTCGGAAACCTCTAACCAGGGAAGTTGGAGTAGGACTGTAAATTATGGACACTGAAGATTTTAATCCGGGATTCCCAAGTCTGCCTTTGGCCTTGTGGCTTTCTAGCTGCTTCTGTGAGGTGTTTTAATGTTCTTTACATGGGCGTTTTCTCTGCTGCCGTGACTAATATCCAACTGCTTGGCTTATCAAGCTAATGGACAGCTTGGTAACCATATCTGCATGGTGTCCTGGTCCTGAAACCATCCTGTATGGGGCAAAACAGCCTGAACTGTGGAGGGGCTTGGCTTGGACTGCAGTGTCCTAGGACACAGTGCCAGGTTTAGGAACCTGGAGACAAAAGAGTAGAGGAAGAAGAGGAACGCTGGAGTTGGCACAAACTCTTTCTACTTTTTTTTTGTTGTTGCTGTTAAAGATGAATCTTTGCCTTTAAAAGGAGAAGCCCTTTACCAGCCCTGCACCTCTGTGATTTATAGTATTTGTTTATCTGAGCCACAGAGCAAAAGGGAACAAACCTGTTTGGTATGTGACCGGAACAGTGTTTTTGTGCTTATAAATAATAGGAACACTCATTATAATAGAGGCTATGTCAGCTGGAGCTATTTAGGTTAAAACAAGTGTTAGGGGGTTATTTGATCATGGTTGTAGACACACTTCTGTTGAAATCTGCATTTAAGGCAAGATTAAATCTCTTCATTTTACAGTTTGCATTGTTAGTTTAGAATCCAAATTGGAACTACATTCAATCTTTGCCTGCCAACTGGATCTTTTGAAGATTTTACTGAACGTGGAAATCTGTGAAGCAGGGAAGCACATATGTTTAAATACCATCAAGGTCTGTGGGTCCAAATATCTGCCTAAGTGTTTTCTTGAAAACAGGCATGTTTCAAGTAGGCTTTTAAAATTTCTGCTTAAAAGCAATGTCTTGAGAGCCTAAGAACTGGGAGACATTTCCTTTCAGAATGGCAAACATCTGAATAACCAGGTCTTTGCAGTTCTGTATTATTTCTGTTTCTTATGACATGTTGTGGTAAAAACGTTTGGAATGATGGGTTGTGTTTATTGTAATTCCTATAGACCGCATGAAATGGAAAGCTTTACTTTAAATGGTATTACTGGCTTCAGAGGTAAAATTACCCATGTCTTCTTCCCCTTTTAATTTGCAATCTGCAGGAATCGTAGCTGAAAATGGAGGGATATGTCTGTACATGTGCAAGGGGCTGGGGGAGGTGGAATTCCCTGTGTTCCTGGGAAAGAGGTATGACAGAAATGGGCTGCAGAAATTTCATCCAGAAGATGAAGGTGTTGGCTGTTGTTGGGTTTTCATTTGCAATGGAAGGAAAGTGGGACAAGATGAACAAATGGAAACTCTTTGCTTCTCTTTTCTTCCTTCCAAATTACTCTAGAAAAAGGCAAAACAAACAAGACAGATGTTACAACTGTAGCTGGGAGTGCTCCTGTGGAGTCCTGGCTTCTGCCAGCTGAAGGATTTTTTTCTTTTCCTCAATCCTGCCAGATGGGAAATGCTGGATGGAGAAAAGAAAATAGCTGGGCAAGCACAGGCCCACAATTTTGTCCCTATATAAGTTATTGATTTACAACATAGGGTCTCAGGTAGACACTGCAGGAGCTAAATCTTTTTTTTATGTTCTTTGACATATTGGAATTGTAGTCAAAATACAGTTTTTCTCATCTGGGTAAAGAACATGCTTGCTGTCTCAGGAACACTATGTCTTCCTGGGTATGGAAAATGAAAGATGGGAGGGGAGACAGCTCACCACATTACAGCTGAGAAGCTGATATTTATTCCACACTTCTCTACCTTGTTTAGTCTGTTCCCAGTCCTGTATTCTAATTTCTCTGTGTTGCTGGAATTGACTTCATTTTAGGGTGACTTTCTTCTTCTTTGGCCTGTATATCTTGTACATTCACTACTGAATGACTTGAAAATATTGAAACTAATTAAACCAGTGTGGTATTCTTTCCTGCTTTCAGTGTGAAGATGAAGTGCCCAGCAGCCAGGAAGGCACAAGTGAAGCAGGAGCTGAAGACAGAGTGGATGTTCGATACCTGCAGTGGTTAAACGGGAGGCTGAGGCTGCAGTGGTGCAGTTTGCACGCTCAGCACCAAGAGCAATGCAAACTTTGGCACAAGGTAAATGATTCTTCTAACTCACTATGACACAGTTTATTATTTAAAAGCCTTGTATGCTAGAGCTAAATGTACAAATTATTCTTGTTTGCTAGTTCTGCATTTTCTGCAGGTAAGAGTAAATTACTCTGAATATAAGCACCTCTGTCTTTCCCCGGTGTGGCAGAACCATGAGAAAATGTAGTATGTTCAGAGTTTGTAAGGTTGTAATTGTATAAAAGTCTCTTTTGCAGGTTGGCACATTAGTCACTTCTGCAGCCACAGGCTGTTGCTGTTTTTCTCAGAAAATGCCTGGTAGAAGCAAGACAGAGAAACAAAACATTCTGGTTCCCCAGACAAGAAGTAGCGATGCAGAACTATTAAGTTCACTGGAAATATGGGTTCAAAATGTTAAGCATAAATATTTAAAGTAATAGCAAAATAAAATGCAAAATCTCTCTCTAAAGTACTAGGGGACATCTCAGCAGAACCCAAAGTTTGCTTTTAAATCAGGAATCAGTAATGGTCCCTACACTGCTAAGGTTCCAGTTCTCTTCCCATTTATGAATTTAGATGCCTGTCTAATCACAAATATCTGGGAGCATTGTATCTGTTTAGGATGGAACCAGCCTTCAGTCCCAAATTCGACAGTGGTGGTGACTCCAGAAACAAAAAATACAGTTCTTAAGATAGTCCTAAAAGTTATTATGTATTATTTTCCCTAGGTCCTCTTTCTCCATTTATATCTCTTTAAATAGCTTAAATTGAACCAGCTATTACTGTACTCAAAACCTTCACAGAAAACCTTTTTCTGAGACTAAAAATGGTTTGGGGAAATTTCTTCCAAAAGTACACATCAAAAAGTTGTCAGAACCACCTTCACCTTTGAATGAAGATGTTTTCTTGGTTTTAATCCTGTGTCTGACAGAGCAAGTGCTAAAAACTATAATGAGGTTATATTTTGTTCTTTCCATGAACTGATTGCTAGGGCAGATGTCTGATGGACAGCCCTAGGGAAGAGGGATCAGATGCTGTGTGTGCAGCATCCAAAAGAACCTTTTGCTTCTCACTGACCACTGCTGATGTGCCTCCCTGGTCTGGGAGCAAAGGTGGCCATTCCCTCTAAGTGCCCGTGTGGTCCTTGACTTTTTGCACTGTGATGGGGTTGGGAGAGGTCAACCTCAAATGAAATGATTGGCATCTTCTCCCCTTGATAAACTACCTCTGTTTAAGGATGCTGGTTTTTCTAGTAGGTGAGGCAAATACCTCCATAACTCATCATCAGTGCTCTGATTTATGTGAGACTTGACAGTAACAAGTCATTAGGCAGCTCCAGTGCCTCAGCTTGCAGTTAATGAGGCCAAGGAAGAATTAAGAGCAGGTCAGACCTGGGAGCTGGAGTACAAACAGAGGTACTCTCAGTGGTCCAAATGAGGCTCTGAGGTAATGAAGAGATGTGCTGATGGGGCAACATGCTAAAATCTTGTTGGCAAGGGAGATAAGAGATTATGACCCTCCTGTGGAAGTTGTACTTTGAAATAAACTTGTAGTTTTTTTTCCCCTTTTTGGCTATCTAAGGCAAAATGTGTGCTAAAGTTAGGACAGTCAGACAACTACAAGAGACAGGTTAGCTATGCTGCAGGTCCCTGGACCACGATTTCCAGAATCTGGGGGAATAAGCAGGAGGGAGAATTGTGTCTCTGTTCATCCGGGTTCCCAAAGCTGTCGTTCCTGCCCTCTGCAGTAGTCATTGCTGAGTGGAACTGCAGGCAGCAGTGGTGCTGGTGGTGGTTGTCACAGTCAGGGCTGCACCTTGGGGGTACCCAAAGCAGGATGGAACTGAGCCCAGCTCCTCCACATGTGAACCCACACTGGTATTATGTGTGCAACTGTGGGAGTTCAGAGCTGTAATAAAGTGCAGTGCTCTGATTTATATTTTAGTTTGAATTAAAAGTAGAATAGAAAGGTAAATGTGATTTTGTAAAGACTTCATTACAGTGCCACATTAATGTTAGCATTTAGGGTAACACAAAATATAACATATTTACACAATTTAACAGCTGTATAAACAATAATTGATATTTCCTGACTCTTTCTAGAGAAATTGCTTTTACTAATGCATTAATTTGCAAACTTTTAAACTATTTTATGTGTTAGAAGACTGAATTGACCCAGTATGACCTCTATATGAGCTGCTGCTTTCCTCTAATAAACCACAAGCACAGTATGCAAAAGGCTAATGAGTGTTATGTTTTTTAATTATGTTGGCAGATTTACAGAGGGCTTTCTCTACAAAATGATAATTACGGCTTTTACTCTCTCTGTTTAATAATGTACCAGGTTATGTGTCTCAGCTGTGGAACAATCTTATTTACTGCTCATCAGGAGCTATAATTTTTGTCAACTGGTGGCAACACTTCTGCAGATCTCATTCTGTGACTCACACGGGCTCTGAAATGCTATTTTCTCTATTTGGGCCTTTCTGAGAAGAACACAACACAGTTGGAAAAAAATGTTCTTACTCAGAAGATGACTGCTCTTCCTTCCACTCTGTATTTTTAGTACAAATGTTGCTGTATCCTCTATCTACTCTGTCCTGCCTGCAGCCACCTGAGGTGGATGGGATGAAGTTCTGCAATCCCCAAGAGAGGAAAGCCTCCCTGGAGCTGCAGCTGGTCCCGTGCTGGGAATTGCTTGTTAGGTGGCCTGCCTGGCTGTTCCTCTTTGCTGGCTGCTCTGTTCAGTGACTTCAGCTCCCAGAAGGCACGTTGAGCTTACAGAAGCACACATGTCCTGCTGTAGGAGGAAGACTTCCTGAGGGAAATCTTAACCTCTCTGTTTCTGAGGAAGTTTGCAGCCTGAGGCAATGAGCTGTTGAATAACGTTTTAATGGCTTCTTGACATGGGCAGGTTGGCTCGCTTTGAAAGTATAATGTAGTAATACCATTCTCATTCTCTCAAAATTCTCAGTGGTACATATTTACCTGGTGTGCCTTCAAATACATGGGAACGTGGAGAAAAAATTACTGTGTGAAGGCACTCCTCTTTGTTCCTTCTGTTCTTTTTCTTTCTGTCAAATGCCAGAAGAATCTGTCTGCCTGGGTTTTGATCCCTGCTTCCTCTTGAACTCATAGGAGAGAGCAGTTGTTCTTATTTATTCTTTGAGTTACCACTTTGCCTTAATAATGTAAGAAGCCTTGCATGGTTTCAGCAAAACAGGAAGGAACCTGTATAGTTTAAAACTTCCATTTGGGTGAGGCTCTGTTAAATGCACTGTGCCACAGTCAGTGTGTTATAAAAAACAGAGGAACAGGTGAGTTTCTGCAAAACTGATTAATATCCTGGGGTTCTTTTCCATCCTGAAGTAGTGGAGGGTTAGATCAGTCTCTGAGATGATTTTTTTTTTTTTTAAGGAGGTGAATATCTGATTATGGGCTGTGCATATGGCTTAGTAAGAATAAAATGATGTTAAATGGAATTCTCAGTGATGGAAGAAGAATTTAACATAACTGGAATTATCAGATCATGGTAAAGCAACAAAAATTGTTTCAATATACTTGGAAACTAATAGTTGTATTGTTAGTAAGAATGCAGAGCAGCACTGGGAATTACCACCTATGAATGGAGTGGTTTCTTGTGCCCCCTCTCAGATGTTAACAATATAAAATAATTAATCTGTTAACAACATAAAATAAGATGTAGTGCAGTGGATCAGATGGGTTGTATCTATGTATCTGAGGTAGTAAGAGTAAAGGGACAAGGACAAAGTCTTGAGCTCTGAATAATAGAGGGCAGGGACTGGTGCTGGGTAATTACCTCATTGTCAGTAATTTATGAGTGAGCTAAACTGCAATTGTTAGATGCATCTGTACCTTGACATGAAAAATCTACCATGTTGCTCTGGGAATTGCTACCTTGTTTATTTATATATTTTTGTCTGTTTGGTTTGAAAGTCTTTGCTTTTTTCCCTATGGTGAATTTGCCATTAGATCTCAGAAACACATTCTTTAATGCACTAGAATTTTTTCCTCTCATGCAAATGTGTGTGAACCATGAGCAAGCCCCCTTTTCATCTTCTCTAGGTGAATTAGGCACTCTGCAGGGAGAGCAGCTTGAGTGAGCTCAAGGGCATTTAGGAATTGGTGCTGGAAACTGCCCAGAAGTGGTGCTGAGTGTGGGGGGCTGTGCCTGTGCTCTCTTGCAAAGGTTAGTGTGAGGTTAAATCTGACCTGCTCTGCATCGGGGTATTCCAGTGCCAAGGAGCAACAGCTTGGCATATTCTGCCTCTCACCCTCTCACCCTCTCACCAGCCACTTCTGCTTTGGTGCTCTTTCCCTTTTTAAGGCTTGTTTGTCTTCTATTAGTCATCAGTAAGAGATAGCAAAAACACTAATACTGGATTATTTCGGTATCCATCTAGTCTGTTCTCAGGGGGACACCTTATTCCTCTGTTGTTACAGCTTTATTGTATTTGTTTTGGGCTTTACCAGGGATGCTGCTGCCACCTGCCCTGGAAAAGGGGCTGAAATTCACTGCTGGTGCTGGGGGCCCAAAGGTTTGTCAGCCAGAGTTACGCAAGAATGCAGCAGGGAGAGAGAGGAGTGGCAAGTGGAAAGGAAGAACATTGTGTGGGGAGGTGCTCTTTTATTTTTAAACTCGCACAGCTCTGCACATGTGACAGATGGTTGTCACCAGCAGTAAGTTTTGGGAAAGGAACGCTAAAATATTCTGAAGTTTCATGGAAGGGTTGATAATTACCCAGTGCCTGTCAATTTTAAAATAGTTGTCAATACCCAAGTGTGTGATAAAGTTCATATTAGAATAAAGGAAGAAAAGCAGGAAACATTCTCTGTCTTCTGGCAGAAATATTAATGAAATATGAGTGATTGTCTGACAAATGTGCACTGCTATCTTGTTTGGCAGCTGCAGTTATTACAGTTACAAAGGGATCAGCTCTGAATAGGAGGAATTGCTTTTTATTGTTCCCTTGACTAACTTGGGGAGCTTCTTCATCAAGTAATTGATGATACTATCACCAGTGCAGCTGGGACCAGGTCTTGGTAAGCAAAAGCCAACAGTATAGAGCAGCAAAAGAGAGCCTTACTGTAACTAGGTAGCATTTCCTTCTTAAAAGAAAAATAAAAATTATTTTGAGAGTATGCTTTAGCTCAGTTGAGACAGCTGCTATCTGTGTAAATGGTTTCTCCTTTCATGCCATGCACCCATCCATGTGTGCTGTAAGGAAAAAGACTTTGAGACAGGCTGAAGAGAGAAACCTTCAGCTTTCCTGTGGTAGCAGAGGTTGCAATTCCTGCATGTGGTTCTGGCAATGCTACCAGATGGACCATTTTGTGAGCTGGTTGTGGTGCCTGTTCTCCTTTCCATTCTGGCTGTTGTATTGGTGGTAGCACTCACACCTGTACATGTCCATTGGGAAAGGCTTTGTGAGCACTGGTCACATCACCCTGCCAACCCACACGGCTGTTGGGTGGTACTTAATGATCTTAATGATCTGCTCCTTGCACTGACAAATGTCTTTTAAATTAATCTGTTCCAGATCCATTTATTCACAAGTGGCTCCCACATGGACCAGAACCTTGGACATTTTTCTGTCACAGAAACAGATCTCATTAGACAACCAGAGAACTACAAGCAGGTAATGCTTCTGCTGTAATTCTTGGATGCTCAGTATGCTTTACACAAACATTGTAAAGGATTGCATTTTTTATAGCTTTTTTTTCTTTTTACTTAGTTTCTAGCAGAAGTAAGGGCTTATATATTGAATTTTCAGTTTCTTCACTTATTTGTATTCACCAAATTTGGTTTGATAGAACATAAGCCCAGAGGTATCAGGGTAAGTTTTATAAAACCTGATAGACAAGAAGTGGGAAGAGACCTGTCTTGAAGTGCTGCTGGAGAAAAGGCTTGTAGAATAAAAGTCTAGATAAGTTGGCTGACTTCCTGTTGTATTCTGCCAGTAACCACAACTGGGCCAGTCAGGCACAGTGTCTGCCTGTGGCCCTGCCTGAGCAAGACAGAACCTCGTAGGAAAACAGAATTTTTCCCAGTCTGCTGTTTTACCCTGAAGGATAAATTCCTACTGCTCTCAATTACTCAATTATCATAGGTGTTTCAGTTCATTATCTGAAGTAGCTTAATTCACTTCTTTTAATGCAGTATAATACATTTGTTTTAAAAAATCATTTTCTAAAAGTTCATTAAGTGTGAAACTGAAACAAGATGGAAATTTCAAGCTCATCCCTAACAAAATCAATATTTGGCAAATTTCTGCAGTCTGTCCAGACGTGTTTGCTCAAAGAAGATATTCTTTCTGCTGTTTGCTTAAGAATGAAAGTGGGCATTGTAAATATTCTGCACAAAGAAATTCGGGAAAGTAGATTTGAAGGTGGGAGGATAGTTTTATGTTCAAAACCCCTAAAGTGCAGTGCACAATAATCTTTCATTGCTGAGTATTTCTTGGATGAGCAGTTCATATTCAGCCTCTTGGTAAGATGCATCTGTGTAGAACATTTTCCTGGAAAACGACTGTTTTTCTGGCCTTAAGTCAGCTTGGGATTTCTTTGTCACTTGTGCTTCACAGTGCCCCTCCTATGGTGTTTCAGCAACTCAGAACACACATCAGCACCTTGCTCTGAAGTCTGTAGTCTTCCAGATCTTAGCAAATGCCTGTAAAGGTCTGGCAGGCTGGTACTAGAAACTTCCAGCCTCTGCAGAGGGCCTTTGCAATGACCTTTTTTCCCAAAGCCTTACCCTGAGTATGTCATGGATCTATTGCAATAAAGCTTAATAATACTCTTGGTATTTGGTTTTGACTTCTTTGGTAATTAATCATTCCCAGGAGCTTTTTCTTGCATTCTGCTCCCTTTCCTGGATGCTTGCTCCAGGTGTTCTGTTCAGAGGAGGCTCAGGATAAAATGGAAGGAGTTCTCTGTTGTTAGCATTGTGGTTAGGTAGAGTGCTGTATTCAAGAAGGTTCAGTGGGCAGCTGTGTTGTTTAGTTAAAATCAACGAAGTCTTCGTTCCACCTTTCCCAGGCTTAAACAGCAAATATGCGAAACAAAACCAGGGTGATGACTGAGAGGCAGGGTGACAAAAAATGTTTTCTTTAAATAAACTACAAGTGGCCACAGTCTGTCTCCAGTTTCTGGGCTCTGACAGGTGCAATCCCAAACAGGCTTCAGCTCCAGTGCATGTGTGTTGAAAATTCCTTTCTTATGTCGCTTACTGCTTGGACTAATCCAAAGTTGGAATTATTTGTCAGTATAATCAGCTGTGAAATTCTTAACCTCTTAAAGCTCTCAAACCTATTCAAGAAAGGTATTCTAAGCTGCTCTCTTGAGCCTGATTCTAAAATACACAGGAGAAATGCAGGAAGTCATTGCAACACTTGAGTTGCTTTTGAGAGCCTTATAATTGTTATGGTCACCATTTGAACATTCTTTGTAGATTTTGTCTCCCATTACCCTTGTTTGCCAAATGCAGCTTCTGGAAGTCATAGGCTCAGTATGTATGAAGAGCCTGGTACAGCAAGGTGGTGTGGGCTTGAAAAGGCATTGTTGTTTTGAGTGTCACTTTTCCAGATGGATCCAATACTCCATATGCAAAGTGATGCTACTTTGGAAAATGTAATAAAAAGCCTCTTAATTTTCAAATATCTTGCTAAGATTAAGTAAATTATGAGTGTTTGAATGGCTTGGTTTTCAAATATTGGTGCAGATGGCAGCACTCTGCCAAATGTTTTCTCCAAAAACTGTGAAATTGTTTTTTTTTTCTTTTCAAGTAAATGAGACATTTCTCTTAATGCTACCTCAAGTAAGGACCTGCTGAATGGAAGAATAAAAAGAGCAAGCATGTCACTATGCTTTACTGTAGTGCACCTCTCTTGGTGGAGGATGTTATGAATTCCTTCTTATCCTGGGCATCCTTCAAAGCCTAGCAATGCAAAGTGGATCACAGCATCAGAAATTTGCTATCACAGAAGGGACTTGGACTCTTCCTTTTTAAGCCTCGAGTTCATTTTAATCAAAAATACCCTGCGAGAAAAGTTGCTCTGTTTGCATCAAAACAAGAGATGTTTAGTCTGACAGGAAAAGTGTGATAGGATACAGATAGCTGTGAAGTCAAGCTTCACTTTATGAAATGTAGAAGTCACGCTGCTCCTTTTCTATAGAAGATGCATATTAACTTATTTAAAATGTTCTTTCCTTGGGTTTTTTGGACTGTAAAACACTTTTAGTGCTTTTATGTACAGGGATTTTACTGGACATTATTATTCCTCTATCATCATAAATGTCTTTGTCAGATTCTCAGGGCTGGAAGTTTTCCAAACCTAATGGTTTTAATTATGTTTTTCTCTAGTGAGGCATGATCAAAACTCCAACTTCTCCTGTGGTTTGGCCGTGGTTATATGTATGTGTGTGGCTGTGAGCTGCAGGTCACTGTTTGGCTCTTGTGCTGCCTTTGGCTGTCAGGGGAGGGGAGGTGGTGTTATTCCAGCTGGAGCTCAGTTTCCAGTGCAAGCACAGAAGTCCTTGGTCAGTGGGGATGGTTCTGGAGCTGTTTGCCCGAGCCCGTGCTGGAGCACACAAATTTGGGAGCTTGGGGGCAGGTCATTGCATCTTTTCTTGAATATCTCCTGCACTTATCAGTTAGTGTCCTAGAATGTAGTCCAGAGCGCCCTGAGTCTCTTGTGTTCTGATGCATTTTCCAAGGTGATGGGCACTGCTTGTGTTTAAATGGTTCCCCCCAGCAGCTGGGGTGAGGCAGGGGGCTGCTGCTGTTTGCCAGCCTGAAATATCTCCAGGGCAGGAATGGAGTTCTGGTCTCTGGCACTGCAGCTGATACAGCTGGAAAGCACACTTGGGAGAGCAGGCAGGTGATGTGGCCACATCTGCCCCAAGCTTTCCAGGGCAGTAATCCTTTCCAAGGATGTGGTCTCATTCCTCTTTCTTGCCTATCAAGTCCACCTATCTTAATTTTGCACAGCAGTGTTGCCAGTTCTGAAGTTTACCTTGGGCTCAAAAAAGTCTATGTTGCACTTAAGTCATTAAATTAACTTTCTTACCCAATTGTTACTATATAGAGATCAATGAATCAAATCAAATCAAAGCACCTTAGTCCTTCAGTTTCCTCTGTCTCTTCATATACTGCTTTGTATGTGGAATTCAATCTTAGGAGAGATTAAAAGTTGAAACTCAGGTCATTGGTGCAATGTTGGTAGTGCTGGAGTGATCACTGAAATTGTAATGAGTAAAGATGACACCTTTAAATGCTCGTAAATCAATTTACTGAGTGTGACAGCAAATAAATAATGCAGATGTCTGCCAGATGGACATGCAGTGAAATTTATAGAACTTGGATGTGAATAGCTAATAATTTTGTTTCAGAATTTTATGAAGAATGTTTGTTGATCATTAATGTGTTTTAAAGGTGATTTATTTGGCATAAGAAGCTAAGGTTCTTGGTAGCAAGTAAATGAGAGCAAACAAATAGTGTGTCTGACTTTGCATACATAATGTATGGTCAATTCCATGCCCATAAAAGATTCAAGGGAGCTTTAGCTCTCCAAGCAGCAGGGATTGGGTGGGATAGGGTAGCAAGTGCAGGCACAGCACTAATCTGCTTTCTGGACTGTTGCTTTATCAGGAAAGGACACGAGTGTGAAGTATCTGTATTGCTTCCTTCAGTCAGGTGGGATCCGTAATTTCTTACTGGGTTATTTGAGGGATAACTGATCAAGATGTAAAGTGAACCCTCAATCTTGTGGCAGTTTCCATTTAAAACATCTGTCCCAGATGGCTGTTACAGATGGGTGACACAACAGGTTTATTCTCTGTGAGCAATAGCCCGTGGTTTGAATTCATGCAAAGCACTAAAGAGCTGCTGTTCTTTCCAGAACAAGTGCGTTCAGATTGGATTAGGAGCTGATAGTCTTGGAATTCTCAGAAATGCTGAATGTGCATTTAACAGTTATTTTTTCATGGAAGTGGAGACTTCAGTTGGTGTCATGGGCTTGTGCACTTGCACGAAGTGCCTTGTATCTGCTGAAGTTCTCTGCAGAGACAAACCAGTGATTTCAGTGCATCCAGGGGACAGCACCACCTCCTGGAACATGTGTGGGGGCAGAGCTGCCAAAGTAAGGGCTGTCAGCCAACACAAGGTATTTTTCTGGCTGCTGGATAATCACTGTGCTACTGCATTATCTCCAGAAATGGATCTCAGGTTGTTCACCCCCTTGGATGAAAATGGAATAACTGTGGCAGGACAGTTTCAGCTGCTGTGTCCCAGGCTATATTTGGTGTCCTTGTGTTGGCTGCTTGGGGCTTGCTGGAATGTTCCCAGTGGTGACAGGCACTGCAGGCAGGCGCTGAATGAAAATAAACAGTTAAACCCCTCTGATAAGCTTGACACTGTGTCACGTTGTTGATTTGACACAGACCTGTGCTAGTATTTCTGTAATCAACCCTGTTGTGGTCTTGTATGGTGAGGTGAAGGATATGTAACCTTATTTGAATTTCAAAGAGCCTGTTAGGGAGCCATCTGATATTTTATAATGTCCTTCCATCTGTTGTACAAGAAGCAGTTCAAGCCACATATTTCTCAGAGTGTACATACCAATGGGAAAAAATGACATTC